TATATCAGCTTTTATTAATATGCAACAACAACAGCTGGCTAGGAAGTTCTCTGACCAACCTCATCTGTGGGCCTCACAGTAAAGAACCCCTAATGAGGCTGCCAAATGGCTGTGTAGGATGCACTGCAGAGATCATGAAGTTCATAGCTTCTAGCAGCCTTCCTTTTTCCTATTTCATTTAAACATTTTTTTTTTTTGCCCCTGGCAGTTAGTTGGTGTACATTCGTATAATTTATATCCTGAAACCATAGTTGGTTTGCCTAGCTCAAGTTGGCTAGAATTTGACTTGTGTTTGTAAGACAAGGATTTTAACATAGGGAGAAGTAGGTGGCAAAGGGTCTTCTGGCAAAAACCAGAGATGCATGTCAAACACTGCTTTCAGTACAGCCAAGTCCAAGTCCACAACAGCTGCTACAACAAATTTCCACTGATTTTGATGCCAGCAAGATCAGAACCTTTAAGAAAAGGATCAACAGCATTACCGAATCACACTTTCTGAATGATTTATTAGTTGTTCTGTACATCTCACTGTCTCACATCCCCATGTTCCCTTCGCACATGTCTAGATTCAGGGTGATGAACATTTTAAAATCCTGTTTATACCAACCATCAAAAAGTATTAGCAAGTTATCTCATGTATTTCCAGCTCTACACAGAGCCTATCCTCCTTTAGTCCTATGCTGTTTTTCATGTAGCCCTTCAGGCTTGTAAACCCTGCTTTTTGTCATTTGCCAAGTCCCCCTTTTCAAGATAAAAATGAAAATCCACCTATTCTGTGAAGCATTCCAATAAAAAAAACAAAACAAAACCCTGCACTGCTTTAAATTTGGTTAGCTCCCTTTTACCAATATGTTTTTCAACAAGAATATCTTTCAGTGGGGAGTCTTTCATGTTTAATACCCTCATCTTTTGGGTAGAAAGAACATGAATTTCACACAACCTCTTGGCACAAATGCAGAGCTCCCTCTATATATGAATCGGTAATGCACTACAATGAAGCCACATTTATTAATAAAGAAACAGGTTTTCTTCATAGAAAAAAGCCTTGTGGTAGGGGGAAAAATGGAATTTTGTAGCTGGAGGAATGGAAGGGGAAGTGAAGGGGAAAGAGAGATACGAGCATGGAGGGACCGGCTCAGTACAGTCTGATATTTACTGCCCTAGGTCCTCCAACTCCTACTGCTCAGTAAAAGAGATCCCCCAAATTACTTGACAGTTCTGCTCACAAGGCTGCATCCCATATTTGGGGACCTATTGCCAGAACCATGTCCTGTTAGAGTCAACGGGGATAGGATCAGACTTTTACGGGGTCTACAGGGATAGGATCAGACCCAGTCAGGACAGCATGCAGGACTGTACCAGTCAACTGCAGTCAAGTTCTAGCTACGTCTAGGGCCCTATTACTATAGTGACTCAGCACACCACAGTCTTTTACTCTCAGAACCACCTCCCTCCCCAGTCAAACAGGAGTTTGCTGGGGCAATAAAGCTAGGGAATTAACATTTGGGGGACATAATTTGAGACTTCAGGCTGCCTATAGTCCAGACTGGTTTGGTGCTCCTCCACTTTTATTGCTAAAAATGGCACCAGAATAACGATCAAAACTACTTACCAAAAGTGCTATTTACAATGAAGGAATAAACCTCATAGCATTTTAAGCATATCTAGATAGTTTCAGAGGTATGATGCAACTAACTGAAGCTCATTCAGCAATGAAGCAAGAAGATGCTTACCTGTTCCTCTCACTTAATTCAATAGATTAAGCCTTCTGATTAAAAGATATACTGTATTACGCTTCAACATCTGGCAGAAGTTGATAATTCAACCAGCCATCTAAATCTCATTCAAAATATTTCTGTTTTAAGGTTCCCAATTTAACCTGTGTATTCAGTTATGTGCCTGTGACTTAAGTACACACAAAGTAATTTCCAGAAGTGTGAGGTGTTCTATCACAGTCTATGATAATACTTAAATTCACACTAATATTCTTTATAAGATGATTAAAATCACTGAAAAGGATGGGGTTTTTATTAGTTTTTGTTTCCAATAGAGACCAGCCACACAAATATTGCAATAATGAGACATACAGCATATTCCTTCATGAATTCTCCCTCAGCAACTTATTAACCATTTCCTTTTAAAATAACTATTTAAAAAAAAAAGCAACAGGGGATTGGCTGTGCATATACTCAGATGAATAAGTTCTCTGAACTTTACCCGGTGTTGAGCTCCAAAAACTCTCACATTTAGGAAACTGAGAAAAATGCATTTCGTACTGCCTGCTATCATCTAATTTCATTCCAAACCACTGGTGTGTCTTCTTCAACTACTTTCAGAAGGGATACAAACCCATCACATCTATGGCACTTTATCTAGTACAATATCCAAGTTATTCAAATGGATACTTATGCCTGTAGACAGAAACCCATATCTGACCCACTATGGACATGTTATTTTTTTTGGGGGGGGGTAGCAGCAGCAGTAGTTCTAGTTTCTTGATAAACTCTTCTATTCTAGCCCTTCTATCCTTCTGTATATTAAAAAGCAGGTCACCACCCATTTTGGTATTGACTAAATAGGTATATAATGAATATACTTCTTTATACTACACAGAACCTAAACAAACCTCGATATAACTTTACTGATATTTATGAATTTACACTAGGGACTGACTCATTCAATATTTTTTTCATGTCTTTGACAACTTGACATGCACTTGCAGTACTTAGCTTGCCCCACTAGAGGTCCAGCTACTGAGGCAAATTACTAAAAATGCAGACTACCTAAAACTAACGTCGGTGAAATTCAGTGCTTAGTTACCAAATCAAGAATTACAGTTTGGGCTCTCCCCTCCCTCCCTCCCCCTATTTTTTTCCTCTTTAAATAGTGATAGCCCTGCAAAGGATGTCCTGAAAGGAATCACTTCAAGAGCCCTGAAAGACATAGCTGAATACTTCAGTACTTTGGGAAAGAAAAAAAAAAAATCTATAGCCTGTTAGCTGGCTTACCTACACCTGAAGTAGAATGAGTTGAATAGGACACTTGAGCAAAAGTTTCAAAAGACCTTCTATACAGACTCCTACGTTCAGTATATGCCACAAGTTTTACTCAAAGAAACGGATAATTTTAGGTATTTGTGGCCATCTACCAACTCCTTTTTGCTACTCATCTTTGCATCCCTCTTTCTGTAAAGAGGAACCTGAGGAAGGGCCTTTTGTACCAGAAACTTTATCTAGTATCAATGCCAACTTTACAGTTGGTCTAATATATACTATCATTAGAAAAAAAGAAAAGTACTTCTTGCCTTAAAAAAGGGACAAATTCCCTTAATCTTACTATAAAACTAGATGTCTATTTTTTCTCTGTTGTAGAGACAAGCTAAGTACTTTTTTACATATGAAATACTGCAATCATTTCAAATCCAGACATACTAGAATTAGAATGGATTGAAAATTGTTATTGATTTTATCAAAAAATTTGAATACTTTTTTTTAAAACTACATCAGGTTCAGCTCTACTCTGGACCTTTCAGAAGTAGAAGCACGTGCTATGGAGAAAATCCCTGTCTAAGTAGTCAACAGGTAGCTTTAAGTCAATCAGATATTACCCTCTGTGTATTCCACTAGCCATACACGAACTATTAAATTTTAAAATGGTCACTGTTCTACAACTGATATTGTCCACATGCAGGGAAAGGGACAGAAATTTTTATGGCAGGTCATCTTTAAAACAATGGCTCTTTGAAACTTCATAGAGCTGTAGAATATGAGAAGAAATCTAGGCAAAAGAATTAATGAGAAAAGCACAGGTGTCACAGTACAAGATATATGAAAACGCTGCTTTATAATTTAGCAGAATGATACCACAACATATATAGCATGCACAGGTGTACAGATATATAGAAATATATCTCTATGTTGTATATCAATGTACTTAATTTTGAATACAACATCAACATCTAGTTGCTCTAATAAAAGATATCACATCTACCCAAAGAACCTACATCAAAATTTAAACATTAAATTTTAGGTTTGATGTGAGGAAATTTTCAAATCTTTGAAGTGAGTTGACTTCTGAAGTATGCAAGTAAAAGTTACCTATAGAGAAGCTTTGCATTCACAGTGTGTTCTTAAACAACATATACAGTCTGTTACGAAGCAAACACCAAAACATTATGAATTGAGAAAAAAAAAAATTCTATTCAGATGAGGAACAGCATTCATAAGAGGCTCCACCATGCTGAATGTTTGGACAAATATAACATGGAAGTGAATGCTGAGCATCCTACTACATTCAATACACTGGTACAATTTACTTTTGTGCCATTTCAGTTTAACTGTACCTAACCTGTGCCACACCTTCCAAGGCTGGCAACAAAGAGGAACAGCTGGAGCACTAGCTGATCCAGGGCTGTTGGAAGAATCCCTTGACTAGAGACCAGATGGTAAATTAGAGCAGTATTCAGACAAAAAGCTGCTTTAACTTCTATGGTAAATTGACCAGTCCACATCTGGCCCCAGGATGAGAAGAGAATAAAGGTTGGCCACTTCTTATCTCCCTGCTGTAGTGTAAGGACTCACATACTTAAAAAAAACCCCAAAAAACAAACACACACATAGTTCCTTAGGCAGTAGTGCTTTGGCTTTTCGTTATTCCACAGGCCACCTATTTCAAGAAAGCACCAACCTTTCTGGCCCCATCCCCAATTGTATGCTCTGGATCACCAGGAAGGATTCCAGAACCAGCATTGGTCCTTGGACTATAATGTGACAGCTTCTGGTCAGCTTGCTTTTAACTTAACTCATCTTTCTACTTTGCTGTTACCAAGTGCATAACTTGTCTTCCACTGACACAGTAAGGCTCACAGCAAACAAGATGCAGAGCTTTTGTTAGTAAAAGGGAAAAAGCACCTGGAAGACAGATCCTTCCAGGGCTAAATTATCCAGCATTAAAACTTCAAAGCAGGTATTTAGGGAATACGTAGTTCTGCTAGATCTCACCTCCTCAACCATGTGTTTGACTTTCTTTTGTTGACAATGGACCATATCATCCAGATGTTTGATTCTCTCTCTCAGATTAGCTGCTACCTCCTCCAGATGTTGAGACCTAGCATGAGTTAAAAGAATGAAAGTAATTTTGTAAGCGATATAACATGAATAAAACACAAAAATAGTACTCACTGTTTATCAGATAGAATAGATTAACATACACCCACACACACACACACACACCTTGTTAGATAAGTCTGATCCCTGTCTGTCACTGTCACTTCCTTTGCCAAGAACAGCTTTAGTCATCTTTCAGCCATAAGTCATTGCCAGCCACCACCCAGTGTAGCTCTCCTTTACCTTGTACACAAGCTTGGTTACCCACAGAGCTTGAAGTTCTAGTAATAAATGAAACTAGAAGGTAATGAGAAAGGAATACAAAACTCAGATTTGTCACCTAAACAAAACTCTTCAGTTCTATGAAGTTTCAAAATGCAAAAATGTCAATTGAACCTGAAGATCCAATCCTGTAAACACTCGCACATTAAACATACAAGTCACTCCATTAACTAAGTATCCCATTAAAGTCAAATCAGAGAATTAGAGTAAAACAGTTTTTGCAATTCAGTCTCAAATGCAGAATGCTAAGGCTACTGAAGTGTACACAGGCATACTTTTGATTGTTTTTTCATACTTTTTTTTCTGTTGAGAAACTATATCCAGTATTTTTCCAGTCAAGCTTATTTACTTCTTCACACTGGAAAAGTTGGAAAAACAGAGTGACATAAAAGTAAATATAAAAGAGAAAAAATAAATCAAATATTTCTTAAGAGATTATAAGAACATTTGTTCCCTTTTGGCAAAATGTTAGCCATTTTTTTAACCAAAGAGCAAGGGAGATTTTTTAATTATGTACACTTATTTGTTACATATTATTTCATTGAAAGCAAAATGTTGCTAGTTGTAAGGAATTCTGTAACATCCAAGCAAAACATTTTCATTTCCATAACAGAAAGCAATACAAAAAGCAGGAAATAAAGCAGAGACATAAAATAAAAGAAAATAAGACAGAAACACTAATACACCAGGAGACCCATCTCTTGTAGGGCAGGAAGCATAGCCAGAACTAGATCAGATGTTTTGCACAGCAAGATCAATAGGGAAGCTGAAGTCACCTGACAGAAACTGCTGTCTCAATTTAGACTTGATGGTAAGGTCAAACAAATAGCACGGTGCAGCCAATCAAGGAGTGGGGGAAAGAGGCTTTACAAAACAACAGCTAGCATATAAAATAAGTTTCACATTGATCAGCTGCATAAAAGGTAAAACTCCAATTTACACTGTCAACACAAGGATTTTACAATGTGGTAGCTGTCACCTATTTTTAACATAGGCACCACCTTATCATAAAAGCTGGATATATCCAGCATGAAGGCATGATCCATCTCCCACAGACACACAAGTCACTCACCTCTCTGGTGAGGATTATCTAGAGAGATATACATCAAAATGACATGTGAAATGCAGAACTTCTGATACAAGGAAGTGGGAGAGCTCCAGTAAACAAGAACAGTTCTTAGGGACCAACCCTTCCTCCCCACAATTGCTGAAGTGCAGCCTATTCTGGCCAAGAATGTTTCAGCCAAAACCCAGTCAGGTCCTTAGGCCAGCCTAAAACACATATCAAGTAAAGAGCAGGGAGCACATCCAAGGAATCCTTTACTAGTCATTTAAGTCCACTTTGTACCATGAGGCCAGCTTTGAACCAAAGATCTGGGTCAAACTTTGCAGTGTCATCACTGCAACTGAATGCAACTCACAGGAGCATTAAGTAAGTAATATGTAGTAATATGCATGGGTTTTCTGAGATAGTTCTCATGATCAGGCCTTGCCCAACTCCAGGATTCCTTCAGATATCACTTTATTCTTAGAGTTGGTAGATTGTTACAGATCTTTACTTGTGTGTTAAGTTGGTTTGACAGGTTTCCAAAAAGGGGTTTTAGCATATGCACAGAATTTTTGGAGTCAGGTTTTGTAATAGGTTGCTTCACTTTTCAACATTCCAGCTGTGGGAATGTCTCTTTCACCTGAGCATGTGCTCTGTGACCTTAACAAGGAAGCAAACTTCATTCCTTGCACACCTAGCTTCACACTGGAACAGAATTTGAGAAAAAACCTTTTGAAATCCTTGCTGTTATGCACAACACTAAATGATAAGATACATCACTTGGCTATAGTAAAGGACTGAATGCTTTTGTTGCACATGCTTACATGTTTTTGTTGCACAATTAGTCCCACACACCACCAGAACAGCTGCACTTTCTTCAAAACCAGGGCATTTACTGTTGAAATTTCAATTCTCATAGTAAGACTACAAAACTAGTTTACATTCGGTTCGTAACAGCTTTGTATATTTAATTCTATATTCAACGATTTAGAAGCATATGCATAATACTAAAGCAGCAGGGTGAAAATTCTTCCACTTTGAGAGATGGGATTACAGTGTCACTGTCTGGCACTTACTGACAAAAAATAAAAAGCAACTGTGAGAAGGATGAAACATCTGAAAAAGTTTTGCAATAATGGAGCATTTCGTTCACATCCAGCTGGCCAGGGCTCGTTGGGCTGAGGAGGCCAATGTCTGGTATGAAGGGCTAGGGAAAGTAGATGACCAGTGAAGGAAGTAAGAGTATTCAGGGTTATACTCCTGGAACCGTCCAATAAATTCAACAGAAGTTGTGATTGGGAAACTGTCTTTTAAAAATGTGGTTTGCGTAAAAATCATACTGATCTAATCTTAGGTGCTGCGCAGTTCTGAAATCAGGCCATTAAGCTTTTATACCTATTTAATATAGTATCATAGACGTGCACAGAACTATCATGTTTACTCAAATCCAAAACAACTTTGAAGTTAACATGACCCCCCCAATAATTAGATACTATATATGGAAAAAATAATACATGTGTTATAAATTTTCCATGGATAAAATCTAATTATTGGAGGGTTGTCTTAAATTAGTCCCTCCTACTGCTTCAGTAGGGAAAGTAGCAGCAAAGGGCAGACAGTTCCCACTACTTGTCCCCTGCTGCAGCCTGCACCCCTGCTGCCTGCTCCCCAGTCTCTGCCCCCTGCAGTCTCCACCCCTTCCTACTCCTCACAGCCTCTTCCCCCTCCCTGCTGCAGCCTCTGTCCCTTACGTACTCCTGAAGGCTTCTGCCCCAGCTCCCCTGCAGCCTCTGCTCAGATATGCAGCAGCAGCTCCAGCCCCAGGATGCTGCTGTGTGGCCAGACAGGAGCCAAAGTCTGTGTGTACTCCATGCCTGAGGGGATGGAGCTGGAGCCAGGGCTGTCCCTGACAATGAGCAGTGGGGGGGAAGGAGAGGGCACAGGCTGAGGAAAGGATATGGAGATGCTGCAATTCTGACTCTGGCCCCGACCCAGACTCAAGGCTGGAGTCAGAGCCACAACAGACACCTGCCTCCCCCTCTACCCTGTACTCAAATCCAAGTCAAGCCCTCCTACTCCCACCCTCCCCATTGAATTGGGGGGGAGAGGGGGAGGAAACAAAATTCAGCTTGGATTTGAGTAAATATGGTATACTGATTTAAAAGACTGGTATTCTGTAGTAACATGGAATTCTTTCTATAATTATTCATCTCTGTAATTGACTTCTCAGAAAAATGAATTCTTTTTTCTTTTAAAAAAAGTGAACTTTTTCCAGTTATTCTTCACAAATAAGATAAATGTATCATAAAGGTCTTCTATGGTGTTAGTATAAAACCCAGATTCAAGTTTGAAAAAATCTTCTTAACACTAGAAAGACTGGTAAATAGTTGGATCTCACCTCTCTCTATCAGAACAAGTTTCAGATTTTGCTCCAGCTATCTGTATTTCTTGTTGTTCCAGTTGTTTTTGTAGCTGGTGGCGTTCCTAAGCAAAAAAAAAAAAAAAGTTATTCTTCATTTGTTTAATTTAAACTTTAGTAACCGTAAAATATCATTAAAGGTTCACAATACGCTAAAATAAATAGAAAAAGGATTCTCCGACATGTTACTTATTTAGTATAGGTGACAGGTATTTCCCGTGTCCAGGCACAGGATGTAAATAATAAAGTTTGGACAAAGAAAACTCTGAATTCCCAAACAGGCACTAAAATAAAAATGGGATTTTCAGCAGGTTATAAAGGGATATTATTACGTATTAAAAATCATCAAAAATTCAGAGATTATTTGATTTAAGCTTCTGACTGCAGAGATTAAATGAGCCATATCATTTTTACTGTTAATATGAATATTCATATTCTCCAAAATGGCAGCCCTAGCGCACAGTTTTTCAGCAAAGGTAAAACATCTTCCTGTTTTTCTCGAAGAAGCCTTACACATGCTTTTCAAATGTTAGCCATTATGCTGGCAGGGATCCATGGTTTCATGGGGAAAAGGAAAGGGGCCATCTATTGGGCTCTGTAAATATCAACCAAATGTCTTATCACAGATTACAGCAAAAATGTAGTTCTGGCTTCCCAACCTAAACAACCAGAATACATACTTCCTAACATTACAAACTATGTTGAGACATTTTAATTCACTGAATAATACCCTATAACCAAGAGTAAGTCCACTGAGTGAAAGTACCTGAAGTAAAGATATTTCAAATCTGGACCAAAGTGATTTATCAAATACAGGGTCTTCATAAAGTCCTTGTGCACTTTTAAACTTTAACAACTTAGGTTGTGCACAAGGACTTTATGAAGACCCTGTATTACTGCCAAATGATGAGAAATAAAAATAAAGCTACAGCACTAAGAGATCTTAGAGCCTTCAAAAGACATAATGTATTATTACAATTCATTAATATGCTTTCATTCCATAATCCAAGGAAGCATTAACATACCACACACAATTTAAACCAAGGTTTGGAATAAAGCCTAGTTTGCAAATTTGCCTGGTTTCGCAAGTTCTGCCTATTAAAAACTGATCACGCGTTTAAATCAAAGATAAAGCACAAGTGTGTAATTCGTAAAAACAGAGAGTTACTTATGAAGTACTGAAACCCCAAATTATCCTGACTTCTGCAGTTTTGTCTACAGAACCTATGGCCTGCAGACTGGATCTGACACAAAGCGATCAATCCAGCCTGCAACTCTTGGAGAAAGGGCAAGGGCAACAGAGTTCAAGGCCATGGGGAGCAAGGGCAGCAATCCCCCATAGCCTCTGGGGCAGCTGGCAACTCATCGGAATGGGATCACATCCTAGTACTCCTGGTTCCCATCAGCCATGCACACCTTAATCCTATGGGAGATGCTGAGTGAGGAGAGAAAAAGTAGTGGTGTGAGGCTGATTAGGGGACCAGAACTTCTGGGATGCAACCCTCTTATCAGTTACACTCCTGCTGGTGCTGTGCTGGGATGCCAGTGCCAGGGAGAAAGAAGGCTGAAATTACCATCCTCAGTAGTGACCCATTCACAAGTGGAAGCCTGTCATTGGTAAAAGGTTGCTAACTGTTTTAGACAACCGAGTCAAAATCCCTCAGAAGGTATGCACGTTCTTAACTCCTATGTACATCAATGCCAGATACTTTTGAGGAGCCAGGTCTAAACTCTCTGGGAGGGATTACCTTCGTTTGCATGTGCTAAGCAATGCCAAACACACTAAAGACATTAAACAAAAAACAATGCAGCTTTAACTACCTGAATGTAATCACGTTATTGATAATTTTGTATAACTAAGAAATTTCAACTCAATTAACAAACACTAGGGGATCCAGATTGTTTCAGAGACCAGGGATCTTCAAAGACAGGAGGTTTAGGTAATAATTAAGCTATGTGAGAAGAGTGATTGCAGTACTGACTTTGGAACATTTATCATCTGAAAAACAGTACAAGTTCTGTCCTGGAACAAAGCCCATCAAAAAAAAAAAAGGGAAGTTAGGACATAAAATGCTACAACTAGCTTTAACACAGCACTACTAATGTCATGAAAAATAAACATCCCAGTGTATTTCTACATCCCAAGGGTTATTGGTCATATGTCAAAAAAATCTGCTCTCTACTACAACTTGGTAGACAATATTTGAACTAAGGAGAAAAACTTTTAAAAGCATGAGTGTGCAAGTAGGAGAGGAAGAACTATATTTTAAATTAAAAGGGCAGTAAAAGCTGAAAATGTGTGTTACTAGCAAGATAGTTTGAGGAATGATACATAAACAAGTTATATGCATAGACATGTAGAGATGGCTGTTACATGCTCACAAAGCCTGAAAACAACATTTCAAAAGAACTTGTAACGTGAGGTACTGAAATAAGCATTTCATCCTGATGTTTAGGAAGCTGGAGATGCAACACCAAATAAAACCAATGTCAGTTGTTATAGGCTTTATTCCCAATGTATCTAAATGAAGCTTATTTCTAATAAGCATATACTTGCCAACCACATAAACTACATATTTAAGTGAATTTATGAACATGACAACCATAAATTCCAAACAATTTTTACCAGCTCTTAGGGGATAAACTGCACTTTTTTTTTTTTTAATTTTGAAGAGACAGTTAAAAAAAAACCCAAAAAACCCCCCCAAAAAAACAACTCATTTAGTCTCTGTTCCAAAGAAGTCCTCAAAGTACCAGCCACTACAAACAGCACTGGTGGCAAAAGGTGTCATGTTTGCATGATGTCCCCATAGCAGTCTACATATTACATACAATAAAGCTTTTTTATTTTTACAAAGATGACAATGACAAGTGGCAGGAGGAATAGAGGCCCTGGGTAGGCAGGGCTGTTAAGCAGCAAGGGACCAAATAGGAACACTCCCATGCAACTCCTGTATTTCTTCTATGAAGAGCATAAAAACTGACCGTCACTTTAACAGTTAGCAAGGGGAGAGTTACCTCTTCCATGCGCTGGATGAACCTATCCAACTCTCCAATCCTCTGGTCTTTTTCTTGTATGCTTATCTCTGTAATCTTCATCTTCTTATTTGCCTCTTCAATAGCCTTCAGAAGCCGATTTGTTTCTGCCTTCAAATAAAGACTGACATTCATATCCACAAACAATAATATAGCTCAGGGGTTTTCAACCTTTTTTAGTCTAAGTACCCCCGGTGGCCAGACATCAAGCGGGGGAGTGGTGACGGTATGCGGGCAGGCAGGGCTGGAGTGCCACCACCTCCCAGGAGCTGGGCCGGGTCGTGGTGGGGAAGCTCACTGGGCTGGTGTGGCAGCAGCAGCAGGGATGGGTGAGCTTCCCTGCCCTGCACCCACGGCCGTCGGGGGGCACAGGCATGGGGAGGACTCAGCCCCATGCAATGCACCACAGGCTGGATCCAATCAGTTGGCAGGCCACATTTGGCCTGTGGGCCTCATTTTGCCCATCCTTGTTCTAGATGCATTCATGAATGATAGATTTATTAATAGCTAGACAAATTCAAGGGCAACAAATTTGTTAAGAGTTGTTGAACAGAATAGTTGGAGATGTTTTCTCTGCCCTCTCTAAACTAACAATGGTAGATGCTAGGGAGGATAATAAATAGGGATAGATCACTCCAGATACATCTGCTTCAATGCTCTCCACAGAATCCACCCCTGCCCCTATCAGACACAGGATACTGGGTTAGATGGACCACTGGTCTATGCTAGTAGGCACTTTTAACGTTCTAAACTTTGTTGTTCCTGATCTAGAAATATCCAAAACAACATGATCACAGCAAGTTCTGCTGAAGAAAACAAGCATTTATCTGCTCAAGTTATTTAAGCATGTATCTACTAAAATTGATCATTTTTTCCTTTCTAGGTTTCCCTAACAAATCAGATTGGGCTTTGCATTTTCTTGGATCAAAACTAGAAACACACCTGTTTTGTTTTTCACTTTAATTTTGAAGTTTACATTATTTTTAATATCCACCACATTTAGACTTTTCTTCAGCTCTAAAACTTAATTAGCCATGGTAATGTTAAAAAAAATCTGGCTGTGACAAGGCATGAAAGGAAATGAAACTGGTGTGATAATGTAAGACATCAGTTCTAGCACTTGTTTCTTAAATTAATTTAGGGATTAGATTCTAAGCAATAACCAGAGAGCACTGTTAAGGACCAGTTATACATACTATTAGAATTTCTCTCTCAGCTTTGTGTTTCTGTTCTTCTTCTTTTAGCTTTTGTTCATACTGACTGTATAGCTTTCTGGTCATTTCTCTCATTACATCTGCATTGGCTTCTTGGGAGGATTCCACCTATAACAGAAAATGAGAACACTGAAATTCCACAACTGACCTATTATTAGTTCCAGTGTTCCTGGAGGTAAGACAAATGAAACCAGAACAAATAAAAAAGGGAGAAATTAAAATGAGGGTGATGATTTTAGCCTTGGCCTAGGTTTGCCATACAATTTGGCACCATTAAGCCAAATTCTCATCCACACCAACAGCACTTTTCAGCAGTCTGGCAATGAAAAGGAATAATTAACATACTTGCAAGCTTCATTTGCACAACATGATCAGGTCCCTTTTCCTCTGCCTGCACATAAGTGGCTTTAGTGTAACAAAGAATCTGGCCTGACTCAATTCTGTCATAACCTCCTCTCATTCTTTTGATGACTGACCCCACTTCCCCCACCCTTAAAAGTAATTTACATTCTACGTTTAATTTTATAAAGTGTAGATTAGAAATTGGCCTGACTGTATTCAAATGCCCACAAGCTCTGCTATGATCAAAATCCAACAGGTTTCAAACCATCTATGCTGCAGCCCAAATATAAAAGCAAAAATGAAGCCAAAACAAAATAACGATTTTCTATAATGTCATTCTTAATTGCAATGCTTCAAGTCAGGAGTAACTCCATTAGAAAACAAGACGAGAATAAAATCTCTTTGCTTCATTAGAGTTGCTTGACTTACACCAGTGTAAATGGAAAAAGAATTAGGCCTCAGCATTTCATTTTAGAATTTTTAGCATAAAAGATATTTTGGGTAACTGAATTACCTTGTTTCAAGGACTGCAAGAATTATCAAATCCCTGTTTTTATCTTGTTCAGTGGGAACAAACCGTTTTCATGCAGAGCAGTAAACCATAAATATATTTTGTCTCTTAAAAAGGAGGATGCCAGTTGCACTATAGCTGCCCTCTGTGACCTCTGACCCAGATCTCAACAGAGAGAAAGTTATTACCTATGCAGTCACAAGAAACTGGAATGAAATTAAGTTTCAATCCAGCATATATTATGCCTTCAGAACTCCAGGAAGCTTGAATAAAAAAGTTTGATTCTAACCTCTTTAAAAGTGTCACAATGGAGTACAAATTCCTTATGCTGACTCCCCCACATTCTTTCACTTACAATTTGAGCAGCAATGGTACAAGAAAAAGAGGAAAGAGGAGGCAGCTGTTGTAATATCCAAGTGAAAGTGTGGGGGGAAAAATGAATTCTAGTGAGCAGGGTAGACTAGATCCAATTGAAACTAAGGTGATTGCTTTTTCACAGCCAACCTGGTGGACAACATTTCTTCCTCTTCCTTCACCTCTAAAATTAAAAAAGTCAGATCGCTCTGGTAGCATAGGCATGCAATTTAACAAATAACCATCACTCCAATTTAAACTAAACTGAAGAAAAAGAGCAATGATTTCTTTTTAGTATATAACTTTGGCACTCTGTCTTGGCAAAGTTATACTTTTATTAACCTATTTAAATTGGCTTGACTCCCTCCTTAAAGAAAAGCATACACTCCACATTTCACTGATTTCCATGTGCTTGAAGTGCTTAGCTGAACTGAGACCCTTTGAGTTTGTCTACTTCAGACACCATGCACAATAAATCTCTGCTTTTCCTCTACTTCCCTTCTTAATAACACTTTCCTCCTTTTTGTTCTCTCTAGACTACAACAGGTTCAGAGTTACTTTTCACAGCCCCAAAAAATTCTACTAAAGAAGGGGAATTTGAATATATAAAACATTATTAAGTGGACATACTTGCTCTAGCACAGGGGGTACGGACCATCTATCATTAAGCATTAATGCAAGTTAAAAAGAAATCCACTAAAACAGTCTACTTCTGGCTTATCTGTTGGGCAAATGCCTGTAACGTGGCAGTCACCTAATTTCAAAGAAGGGAAAGAATATGCTTTTCATATTGTTCTAGTTAATTTCAGGCACCTTTAAATGGTTCTTTTCATACTTTATGGAAACTAACAAGTGCAAGACCAGCGGTCTCACAAAAGACCCATAATAACATGTTTGTATTTTATTCCTTTGTGCTCATTTGAAAATCAGTCCTACAACTAATTTCTCTTTTCAAGGTAATATGCTGTGAGGGCAGATCTCCACTGACCAATAAATATGGCACACATGAATGAAATATAGCAGATTATTGATGAAAAACTACCCAGTGTATAGTATGGCCTGAAATATGGTATCAGCTTTAGGAGGGACATATAGCATTGCTTAGCAGCCCATGAGGGGTTAATGCACAGCCCCTGGGATCCTCTTACGGCTTCAGTTCCTTCTGCAACTGGGGGCTCCAGACTCCCTCTCCTCCCTCAGCTTTCACTTCCTGCTCCCAAGCCAGGGGGCAGATTGGCAGAGACTGCAGCGCTGGAGAAACTCACAGCACAACACAGTAATGGTGCTGCAGTGGCCAGGGTGGGAGGCAATCAAGTGTACAGTATATGGGGAGGCACCACCCACACAATGCAACAGCTGCTTGTGCATGCAGTGCAGCAGGGGAGAGTTGGAGGGGGCAATTCCAAGTGCGTGGTCCAGGAGAGGCAGAGAGAATATGAATGAGTGGTAGCATGCATAGCATGCAACCCCCAATCTCTCACCAGCCCTGGCCTCGAATGAGAAGGTTCTCACAGAAGTGCGCACTACGGGCATCACCATTTTAATAGGTTGACCTTTCACTTGCCAACAACAGCCTTATGTAGGCTAGGCAACATTTCAAAACCCATGTTTGCTAAGGTGGTTCCCTATTTGTTTATTTGCTTTCAGCAATGTTAATTCTTCACCATGGATCTAAGCTCTTTGCATGAACAAGGGTGAAAGGACCATGCACTGATCAGTGAAGAATTCTATGCAGATATGGCTAGATCTCTTTTCCAAACAAAATCTCATTGCCTCAGCAATATCCTTATTGTACAACCTCAAAAAGGGAAATTTGCATACCATACCTGCAATTTCAATAGCTGATTTTCCATCTGAGCAGTTTCCAGCTGTTTTTGCTTTTCTTTCAGTTTTTCCATAGATTTCTCATGTGTGTGTTTTAAATTCCTTATTTGATCCTTTATGTCTGTGTTCTCCAAAGTAACATCCACTAAAGTTTTCTTTAAAACAAACAAAAAAGAAAAAGAAAAACCAAAACACACATTGAAATGCATGATAAAGTAGAATTCATCCAAACTATCTAGCACTGAGCCTCTTTACAAGTTTACTAATCTTTTGAGATATATATATCTATATAGATATATATAGATAGATATAATATTAATTAATAGTATTAACCCTTTAAAGTTTGGTTTCCAATTATGTAATTTATTAAGAGACTGCCCCACATGAACATGCTCATTAAAATCCAGCCCTAGGGTGCCATAACCAAGAGGAAGTTTCACATGAACTACAAAGCAAATTTGTTTTCATTTTATACTGCAAGGTAAAATGATGTGAAATGCTGAATTCTCCCCTCTCCTCATCTCCAGCTATCAAATCATAAATTAATAAAATTTGAGCAAACTGAAGTTAAAAACAGAAAAAGGGGATGAATGGGAGGACAGAAGAATCAAGCTGCCTTGGTAGGATGGTTATCAAATGTTTTTTGTTTTATTTGAACTGGAAAAAATACCCCTGGTTTACAAGTCTGGCTGCCAAATACTGTATTTACTTGATTAGAAGATGAGGTGCCCCCCTCAATTTAACACAGAGCAAAAAAGACCCTCACCTTACAATCAAGCATGAGGCAGTGGGTGGCAGGGGTTAGGAGATCTAGCTGCCACCTGCCCCCATTACCTCTGCATGCCCAGCCACTCCTCCCCCACAGTCCCTAGTTTCCAGCCCCCACATGACACTACTCCTAGTTCCCCCTCCTCCTCACCTTTCACACGCGCCAGCCCAGCCCTGTAACAGCAGTGCCAGCTCCATGACACTGCTATGGAGCCAGGCTGAAACTATGCTCTGTGACCTAAGCTGCAGCAGGGACAGAGTCTACTGTAGGACAAAGTGGGGATAGGGGGAAGAAAGGAGGGACAGGTGGGAGGCAGAGATTTTGGGGGGCAGGGACCCAAACCTGCAAGGGGAAAGGGGATCAGGGCAGCCTGAGGCTGTAGGGAGGGCAGGCACAAGGGGAGGGGGGGAGGGAGGGGAAAAAAAAGAAACAGGCAACAGGACAAACTGCCTGCCTCTCTCACTGCCTGCCCCACCGCCTCCACACTGCCTGTCTGCTACTACCTGCCCTAGCACCTCTACTGTCTCCCCCCTTGTGTCTCCCCCCACCTACCCCATTACTGTCCCCATTGTCACTTCTCTCCCTCCACTGCCTGCAGTAACTGGGGGGGGAGGGTGAATTTAAGATGATCCTCCAATAATTGGATTCCACACATGGATATTTATAATAAATTTATAATTTTTCCATGTGTAAGATTTAATTATTGGGAGGGCATCTTAAATTCAAGGTTGTCTTATTTTGGGGTAAATACAGCTTTTTTTTAACACTTGCGAGAAATGTAACCAAAATTTCTATCCAAGGGTAAATAAAATAGAAGAATAAGAACAGGGGATGGGCTGTTATTTTGCAAAAATAGCACCTGGGGTTTTCCATAATGCAAAAGGCCAGGAACTTTAGCTAAGTAACAACGAAGTTGAACAGTCCTTTGCTGCATATTATCTTATTAAATTTTTTAAACCAACAAAACTTAAGGGTTTTCCTAAATTCACAGTATAACCATCTTAAACACCAGCAGTGAGATTTACTGGAATAGATTAAAATCTGCATGTGGATACTTTTAAAACGATGGACACTAGAAGGAGCCCAACAGATCAGGCTATATACTGCAACAGAGCTATTAACAGTGTACCTGCAGCTCGATTGATGCAGATGTCAAGCTGCTGTTCATTTCACTGAAGCTATCCAAGGCTGCAGCCTGCACTCGCATGTGGCTCTCTAAGGATTCCTGTTGAACACTTGTAACCTGGAGAGTGCAAGAAAAAAGAAAAATTAAATTTGCCACGTCTTTTGGAAGCAAGACAGCTGCTATCCTCTTAAAAACCATACAAGTCAAACTGCATCACTGGGGAAGGATTAAAATCACTGGAAATAAAAAGTTAAAATCTTTCAGCATTTTTAAATGAAAGTCTTCCCTGCATTAATGTTCTCACAGAAGATGCTTGTATTTTCTCATTAAACTACATCAACTTACACATTAAAGTGAAAAGGGGACTTCGGCTCTACCTTTTGTGGTCGATGCAAGGAAATATTTTTTTAGTTAAACTCAGTGAATGAAATTTAATCTGGTATAGAGGGAACTGACCCATTGTATACTTCAGTGGGACTTAACTGTTGTCCAGACTGACCCTGTTCAAAGAGGCAAGTTTCATTCAGTAAGAATACCCACAGAATGCGTCTCCACTGCAGTTCTACTTCATATATTTCAAGCCTTTTTAAAAAAACACAAAGTGCCAATTTATCTAAAAAAACCTTTCAGTATCTCTATAAGCTGCCACGAGGTTTTCCAGGACAAGCCAGATTTGTATGTGCATTCAAGTGTATTCCAGAAGATGAAAAATACATAGCAATTAAATAGGACGCTAAATTTCCACACTGCTTAGAGTGGTTAAAATACACAGACCACAAAACTGATCAACTCCCAGACCCAAAAAAACCTACAACCCTAGTATAGAAACAAAAACGAAGAGCTAGTACACGTTTATTTTTTGTCTCCAGTTATTCCCACGCCATGACATTGGTGTTGTAAAGGCGAGGATTTTTGACACGTTTACCAAGAAAATCATTTCATGCACAGGCAGTCGGGTACAAAAGGCTGCAGTCAGGACTAGATGAGTAAACAGAATGGAACAGACCGGGGAGACTTGTGCGGAGAGCAGACAGCAGGACTTTGTACAGGAGGAGATGAGATCAAGCATATAAGGAAGCAAGCCGAAAGCTTTTATGATCACAAGAAACAGGAACTGATTGAAAGCAGAAAGATGAGCCAGTGCAAAGATTTATTGTATATAAACTTTTCAAGTTTTACATTACAAAACAGAAGGTTAACAAGCAAGCCATTAAGTTCACATGAGCATAAAAGAAATAAAATAGAACAGATAATCCAAATTAATATGAAGACTGTCAAACAGTAGCGGAGCACTATTTATTAATGAGGCCTAATCCTACCACACAAACATGGGCTATTTATCTAGGAGTAGATATGAAGATTATACATTTTAACACAGTGGCAGGCAATTATTTTGGGTGGAGGGCCACTTAAGTTTTGGCAAGCTTTCAGGGGCCACATAGGTAGCCCTGCCCCTTGACAATTGCTCCACCCCCCTGGTCACCACATCAGGACCAGAAGTCCTGCCCCCTAGCCCCTGACCTTTGACACCAGAAGTCACTCCCCTTGCTGCCCCCACCCCATACTCCTTTGGGGAGCGGGAAGTTGCAATCTCAGAACCAGAAAAAAACCAAATCATACACTAGATGTCAAACACCTACCACAACATATTTTAATTTTATGACAAAAAATGTGTCATGACTTGTGATTGTGTACTATATATAGAAGGGATTGCAAAATAACTCAAAAAATACAGTGCCACTTTTTTGTGTGTGTGTGTGGGGGGAGGTGTGGGAGCATTGCAAGACGGTGTGGTTGTGTAGGGGGGCATAGGGTATGTTGGGG